TGTGACTCACAGGATTCCACCATGAATATATGCTCTTGTTACAAATTTAAAACACTGAAGTAGAGATTTAAAAAAAAAAAACACATTGGCAGAAGCTTATTCATTGGTTGACTTCAAAACTACGAAAACAAACATGAAAATGACTAAAAGTTTTCTTTTGTTTTTATTTAACAAGTCATAAAACACATTATACACAGCAGCAGTTGGATGAGCCCTGCAGCTTTAACGCCCTTCACACATGATCAAAGGCGTGAACCACTGTTTTCCAATGGAAAGAGAGGAATGTTGAACCTGTGGCTGTGCCACACTGGGTGTTGTGAGCTGTCCAGATTTTATACCTTATCACTGCTCTGAAAGCTTCAGGTTCAACCTTTTCATTTTGCTCTTCAGTATAAAAACCAGTTAGTGACATCAGTCTGGTCCCAGGAGGTGTGTCTGTGTGGCCACCATCAGTACGAGTGCTCGTCTCCAGACATAAGAGCCTGAGAAACCTCCAAGACAAACCAAGACTATACTTTCAGGGATCATTTCTTTAGTTTCTGACTTGAGAAATGTGTTTCTAAAGAGTGTGGTCTCACTGCCCACGATGAAGAGTTAAGATGTTTCCTTCAGAGCAAGAAACTGGTGGAAAGACTCTGTTTCTTCTCCACTGTTGAAGATTGGTCAGTGTTTCTGACTGAGACACTGATGGAGGAAACATGATCTGAGTGGAGCTTTATTAAAAAAGATACAAATGTTATTAGTAACATCATCTTTTAGAGTTGACTTTACTTTGTTTAGACTATTTGTGCACTAGAGAAAATGGTTTTGTGTTATTAGTTCTAAAGAAACTGACAGATGATATGAAACAGTCCTGGTTAGTTTGTGTCCTGTTTAATCAGGTAACATCAAGTGAAAACACCTGTTTGACAGGAGAAGACTGACGGCTCATCTTGTACATTCTCAAAGTAGAGTCTGTAGGTGGAGCAAACATCCAGATGTTCGCACACAAAACATTTGGTCAACTGGTCAGACTTCAACATATTCACCATAACATGTCAAAGTCCTGTGGGGTCATATACTGATAACTTTACATAAATAAAACATACAACACAGTTACAAAGTCAGCTTTTTTTTTTAAATTAAAAAAAATAAAACCACTCAGATCATGTTTCCTCCATCAGTGTCTCAGTCAGAAACACTGACCAATCTTCAACAGTGGAGAAGAAACAGAGTCTTTCCACCAGTTTCTTGCTCTGAAGGAAACATCTTAACTCTTCATCGTGGGCAGTGAGACCACACTCTTTAGAAACACATTTCTCAAGTCAGAAACTAAAGAAATGATCCCTGAAAGTATAGTCTTGGTTTGTGCTGGAGGTTTCTCAGGCTCTTATGTCTGGAGACGAGCACTCGTACTGATGGTGGCCACACAGACACACCTCCTGGGACCAGACTGCTGTCACTAACTGGTTTTTATACTGAAGAACAAAATGAAAAGGTTGAACCTGAAGCTTTCAGAGCAGTGATAAGGTATAAAATCTGGACAGCTCACAACACCCAGTGTGGCACAGCCACAGGTTCAACATTCCTCTCTTTCCATTGGAAAACAGTGGTTCACGCCTTTGATCATGTGTGAAGGGCGTTAAAGCTGCAGAGCAAAAGTAAATGAATCAGCCACTGATGATGATCTGGTCCCAGGAAGTGTGTCTGTGTGGCCACCATCAGTAAATAAGTGTTTCCACTTGAAGTTACTTGATTAAAAACAACACAAACTAACCATGACTGTTTGATATCTTCTCCCAGTTTTCTTTAAACAAATGAAGCAAAACCATCTCTTCTACTGCACAAATGATCTAAACAAAGCAAACTCTAAAAGATAATTACTAATGACATCTGTATTTAACAAAACTCCACTCAGAACATGTTTCCTCCATCAGTGTCTCAGTCAGAAACACTGACCAATCTTCAACAGTGGAGAAGAAACAGAGTCTTTCCACCAGTTTCTTGCTCTGAAGGAAACATCTTAACTCTTCATCGTGGGCAGTGAGACCACACTCTTTAGAAACACATTTCTCAAGTCAGAAACTAAAGAAATGATCCCTGAAAGTATAGTCTTGGTTTGTCCTGGAGGTTTCTCAGGCTCTTATGTCTGGAGACGAGCACTCGTACTGATGGTGGCCACACAGACACACCTCCTGGGACCAGATCAAGACTGTTTCTCCTCCTCTTTTGAAGACTGATTAGCGTTTCGCACTGAGATGCTGATGGAAGAAACATGTTCTGAGTGGACTGTTACACCTGTGAATAAAAAACACATGCACATACAAACACTTCTTTCTGGGGTAAGAGATGATCAGTTGATCATTGTCTGCAGAGGAGCAACCCTCGCTGGATGTCTTTTGACCTTTTCTGTTGTGCTTCATGTCAGTTTCTTTTGCTTGAGGAACTTGTTCAGCTATTACAAGCGATTACTGTCATCTGCTACAGCTCCCACAGAGCTATGTTTGTGGGGAATTACTTTTAAGTGTTTAGCATTTCCAAATGTAAACTAAATGTGTTCTTGAAACAACAGGAATCACCAGCTTCAGACTCTTTACCTTTTTTTTTACTATTGGCACATTAAAATGTAGAAAAAAATGAACCTTTCAACCTCCCGATGTCTGCAGCGCCACTGTTTTACAGTATGAAATCACATTTCCCAAACATTGCTGTAACAGTTAGATTTATACATCACGCCATCTCTTTTCTAATAAAAAGAAGATACACTGACTCTGTGCTGCAGTAATTCAGACATTGATTTCCAGAGTGTCTTTTTGAAAGAGACTAGATCGTGAGGGAGTGAGACTCCGATTCAGAGCACTGAGGAGGACTAGGAGGTCATTACTCATAATGAACCCGTAGCCTCTTGGCTGTAACACACACACACACACTCTGCTCCTGTCCATTATTACACAACCCACGGGCTGAGATATTGTCAGCACTATCAGTACGTGCCTACATGCTTCTCGCCACTGATTAGTTTCAACTTTCCAACATGTGTAACCTTTTTTAAGATGACACATTGAAGAATCCACTCTCTGGATTAAAGCTTCGCTGTCACCTCTGAATGAGTCCAACCGGAGTGTGTGGATAAGACAAGTGTTATGTAACTGCAAAGTTTCTGCAAGTTTCTCCCAGTGTTTACTGCCTGTGACCTCACTCCGGGTCACTACAGGTTGAACTCAGCAAAATGAAAAGTCTGACACCCCGACTCCCTTTCTGTCTTTGGTTCAGTGACAATGTTTGTCAGCCAACAAAGATGAAAATGAAACAATCATCTTAAATCAGAGAAAAATGTTTCCAGTGTTTATTAAAAGCCACATAAGTTTTTACCTTTGGGAAAATTCATTAAACATAAAAAAATAAAGAACTTCTCCATCCATGGTTACACATGTTGTAGATCTAATGTGTCTCTCCGAGCTACTTGGCTCGACTCAGTGCTCTCAGTATTTACACATTATACACAGCAGCACTTCCATGAGTTCTTGTCAGACACAACATCACAAAGCACATCATGGCATGAAGTTGCAATTTAGAAATTCTTTTCTCAGTAAATAATACAAATGATGTTGTAATGTTAAAATTGTCACGAATTATTCCGTGCACTTCTGTCCCTTTTGTCCATGTCACAATTTGCTGCTGGGGATTCAGAGCTGCCTGCTGTTAATAAAAAAAGAAGTGATACCAGGTGATTTGGACACATCCTGTTATAACTGGCACCAGTTCTTTGTTTTTTTGTAAATGCACCATTTTCCCTGACAAGCTGAAGCTTCATTTGCTCAGAAAACAGCCAATAACCCTGATTCCGACCATCCTCACATCCTACACCCTCACTTCTCCCATAAATGATTAATAAAAGAACAAATGAATGCATAATGTTGCTGTTGGGCAGAAACCTCCAGTGTCCATATTTTGTTATTGTTTTTTTAAATCAATGCTATTGATCAGTGTTTACCTGTCTGTAGGTTTTACAATCATTTAATCAATGTAAAGCATTAAGAAGGGCTCGTGACTAAATCTCATAACTCAACTGGATCCTGAAACTGTTGGCAAAACCTCGTTTGATTGAGGTAAAATGTTAATGACATAACGGCACACACTGGTAAGTGACCATATATAAAGACACAATACCAACTTTGATAATGTGATGCTGAATTATTTTAGATGCACAGGGTCCTAAAAGGTTCAGGAGCAACGATAAGTGTGCTGCTGAGGTTCTTGCAGTTTTAATCACAGGAACTGCTGAAATAAGACATTTGACAGAAAGACAACAGACGCAGACATATTTCACAAAGAAAGAAAAAAACTGTCATAGCTGAGTCTGAACACACTTCCAAGGATTCACACTGG